AACTAAGAATGATCCCTCTTATATAGAGGAGAGGACCAAGACTTATAACACATATGACTATACAGGTTAGGCAGTACATATAGCTATAGAAAGTAATATGATATCTACGGTTGAGATGTGTTATGTTGCTCTAATACACCTCTGCAAATTGATGGATCTTGAATGATCGTCAATTTGGTACGAAGTTGAAGAAAGCGCGACGTGGATAGAGATTTGGTAAATATGTCCACTACTTGGTCTACTGTACTTATGGGAAGAAGACTGATGTTGTTTTGTTGAATGTGATCCCTTAGAAACTTTTGATCTATCTCAATATGCTTTGTGTGAGAGTGGAACATTGGGTTGTTGGCTAGTGCTATGACAGACATGTTGTCATAGTAGAGATGTGTTGGATAGTCTTGTTGAATGCCGAAGTCAGTGAGGAGTCATCGTAGCCAGATTATGTCCAAGCTGAGTGCTGCCAGTGCGCGATATTCCAATTCGGTGGATGATCTGGCTACCATGTGTTGTTTCTTGACAGTCCAGGATATAAGTGTGTCGCACAAGAATGAACAATAGCCCGATGTTGATCTTCTTGTTAAAGGATCGCCAGCCCAGTCAGCAACTGAAAAGGATTTTAGAATGAGATTTGTTCTGTTAATGGGTATACCAAATTCTAGCATACCTTTGATGTAACAGAGTAGCCATTTGAGTAGATAGATATGCTCCGGAAGTGGATTATACATGTGTAGTCGGCATACGTGTCCTGACCGAGTACTGTCTTCGAAACCTTTCGGTTGAGTCATATAAATAGTTTCAGATAAGGTACCGTGTAGAAATGCATTTGCCACGTCGAGTTGTTGAACAATCCAGCTGTGATATAGAACAATTGTTAAAAGTATATGTATCATGGGTAGTTTGGGGACGGGACTGAACGTGTATGTGTAGTAAATACCGAATTCCTGATTGTTTCCTTGGGCAATTAGCCTTGCCTTATTTGGCCTCTGAACCATCTATGTGGAACTTTGTTCTATACGTCCATTTGCAACCTAGTATAGATGCCTCAGGTGGTGGCAGAATTAGACTCTAGGTCCCCTGTTTCTACAAAGCCAAAAATTCATTAGCCATTGCTTGACGCCATTCAAAGTATTTGACGACCTCTGTGTATGTAGTCGGATAATGATTCACATTTATGGATTTTTGTATATGTAAGAGATTAAGACGTTACGTGTTCTTGAGTGATCCAGTTTTTCTACGAGTTATCATGTGATGAGTGGGGAGTGTGTGTACTGGGGGATTGAGATAGAACAGACAAATTGTTCCGATTGTTGGTAATGACAGTGTCGTTTCTATGAGGTTGCGGAGCCTGAGTGGTGCGAATAGGGACGTTTGGTTGGTTCTGAATTGGTATAGAAACGAGACTAGGAATAGGAACCGTTGGTCTAATAGAAGTTGGAGTTAATAGAAAGGATTAGGTCTCAGCAGGATTGGATGAGGGAATTGATGGAGATTTAGAAAAGGAAAGACGTTTTCGTTGAACTTAGTATGTATTTACATTATAATTTTGGTGGTTGATACATCAAGACATTTGTAACCCTTGTAAGTCTCAGAATAACCCAAGAAGACACATGACTGAGATTTAGGTTGAAGTTTGTGACGGGAGTGTGAAGGAGTGAGCGAAAGCATTCACACACAAAAATTTTGAGGTGACTGTAATCCGGTTTCGATTTGTGAATGACCTCAAACGGAGAAAGATTGTTTATTGTACGAGAAGGAAGTCTATTGATAAGATAGACCGAAGTAAGAACCGCATCGGGCCAGTAGATGTACAAAACCGAAGCAGTAGTAAGAAGGGTACGAGTAGTTTCAATGATATGCCGGTGTTTCCTTTTGGCAAGGCCATTTTGTTTCGCAGTGTAGGGGAAAGATAGTCGGTGCAGAATGCCTTGAGTATCAAGATAATTTTTGAAAGCATGATTAACGTATTCAGAGCCACCGTCGGTTCTCAAAATTTTTATGTGATGGGATGTGTATTTCTCAATCTGATTTTTAAATTTAATAAAGATATTGAAAACATCAGATTTGTGACGTATGGGAAATAACCAAGTATAACGTGAGAAATCGTCGACAAATATAACGTAAAATTTGTATCCTTGTGTAGATACAGTGGGAGTTGGTCCCCAAACATCAGAATGTATGAGTGCAAGAGTGGAGGACTGACGGTTTTGAGAACTTTCAAAAGTAAGTTTGTGACATTTGGAAGAAATAAAAGAACTGCAAATGGACGACTTTTTATTAATATTGAGATGAGGGTTACAATTAGAAACAAGATCTAATATTCTCTTGTGCGGATGTCCAAGTCTAAGGTGCCACGAATTTGGCGAAGAGTTGGTAGCAGATAGAGCTTGGTGAGTATGCGTGGAGGAGCTGATCTGGATAGAGTAAAGTCCACGATTACACGACCAACGAAGAATGATGTGTTGCGTCTTCAGATCCTTTAAAATAAAGTCAGATGGATCAAAGATAACATAAATATCATTGTTTTTGGTTAGTTGTGAAATAGATAATAAATTGAACTTAAGAAAGGGCGTGTGAAACATTTGAGACAAACTCAGCATACGGGATGGGGTCGGGAGTATACCAACCCCGGCGTGAGCAATGTTGACAGAGTTTCCATCGCCTATGGTGTGTTGTCCAAACCCTGGTATTGAGTAGAGATGGATAGGTTGTCAAGCGAGTTGATGAGGTGCGAGGATGCTCCCGAGTCCAAGAACCAATTTGCATCCGGAGCATTTGAGTTTGCTACTAGCGCAACATTATTGTTTTGTTTGACGGCATATACTGGATGTTTAACTGATGCCAACAAGATTGAGCCGAATGGTCTTTCTTGTAGCAAATTTGACAGATAATCTAGGCATTGACTGTAGTCCGAGCTTGTCCATTATTGTTTAACGAAGTTCTTCCTCTAGACCGACGACCACGACCTCGATAAGTGAATAGAGCCGTAGTTGGATCTTAACCGAGTGGAGCCCGAGCGGTGTCTGACGCAGTATTGATTTCATCGCTTAACAGCAGAGGGTAGAGCTGGTCAATGGTAATGAGGGTGAGTATAGCTCTAATGCCAGTTTTGAAGGATTTGTAAGAGGGAGGTAGTCCATTAAGAATGTAAAGAATGATGTCCTCCGTGTCAACCGAGGAGCCAGCCGCGGATATTTGATCGACTAAATTCTTGATTTTGGAAAGATAATGATCCATGGATGCGTTCTTGAGGGAAACATGATGAAGTTTATTTTTGAGTTGAATGGCCTTTGAGAGGTTAGTAGATTGGAAACAATTTTTGAGAGTTGTCCAGATCTCTACGGTGGAATGAAGCTGAATGACATAAGGTAAAACCGATTGGGATATTGTGGAGCAGATGGATGCTAAAAGATTTTGATCAGTGAGCGTCCATTATGAGTAAAGAGGGTTGGCAACGGTTGATCCATCTTGAGCAAACAGGAACCGAGAAGGTGGAGACATTTTGGGATCAAGAAAGTCAAGAAAGCCATTTGCTCGAATTTTTTTGAGAATCTACGATATCCAGATAGCTTAATTATCTGGGGCAAGTTGGATCGTGACAAAGTTGCGAAGTTTTGGCACTACAAATTTCAGAGTTGTCGGAATGGAGGGATCGGCATGAATCATCTAATCGTTGTGATCTTGAATCTGCGACGAAGCAGAATCCACCATGATCCAGGATCAAGAACGCCCCTCTGATACCATGTAGAAACCAGGAGACGGAGAACAGAGAAGAGGAGAAAGTAATTGTATTAACTTGAATGACTGTTACAGCTAAGAATGATCCCTCTTTTATAGAGGAGAGGACCGAGACTTATAACACATATGGCTATACAGGTTAGGCAGCACATACAACTATAGAAAGTAATATGATATCTACGGTTGAGATGTGTTGTGTTGCTCTAATAGTTTCTTAAAGCAGCTTTCAAGTACAAAAAATTATGAAGCCTTAGTGTTCTAAATAATAAAGTTCTGATTGGTTGACAGCTTCATCAAACAACCAATCAATTGAAAGAGGTTGATGATCAACTTATATGCTTATATGCCCACATTAATGTCCAATTTGCATAAAGACGAGAATATAAATCAAAACGTTTAACAATTTTGAAAGAAATCAAACAATGCCATGGCAGATATTGCTTGGCTTACTATTTTCAATTACAACAATTATGTTCTTCAACAAAGATAAGAGCCCACTGTTTAATAACAGTCATAGATTACATGAAAACATTCCTCAAGACTTCTAATAATATAGATAAAAGACTTCTTATCTCCAACGGTAGACTTGATTATTAATTGGAAATAGTCAACAACAAACCAAAGTGATCACTGGGATACACATGATCAACCATGTTGTTATGGTGGTATGAAAGCCCTGCTATTGCTTTCTTTCCTATCGTCTCAATGTTAATGATCCTAAAGTCTCTCAGTTTACAAAGAAACCTATCTAATCTCTTCTGAAGCCGCAAATAAGTCCATCCATCCTCTCCTGGCCTGAGCTCATTCCAGGCATCAACCCAATCTTCATTGACTGGAAAAGGGCCATCAAAGCTCTCGTCCCAGTTCATGTCACCACCAAATACAACATTGGGCAAGTTTTTGAGTAGGCTAACAGCCTTTTTTGCCTGAGCTATGCGCATGCTGCAGTACATTTTAGGAGGATTTGGGCTCTTAAGGTGGGTGGTTGCAACTACGAGGTGATTATTAGTTCCAACATCAACCTTAGCTAAACAAATCTCCTTTCTGGAGTTCTTAAAGCTTTTGTTGTTAAATGTTTTCACAGGCAACTTGCTCCACTGTAATCAAATTATCAATGTTTGATTTTCAAGAAGGAAATTACAAGGAATATCCTAAACTCATATCATAAGGATTTAAAGGAAAACTAGACTAGTTGTTGCTAATCAGAAGTTTACCAACATGCAGAAGTATTTCTTTGTTGCCTTCTCTGGGGGGACAGAACATCCATAGAGTTTCCACCATTGGGAGTGATAGAAAATTATATAAATATATGGTGTAATTTCCTGAAAGACAAACAACTTAAGTTCATAACTATTCTTGATTAGTATGAGGTATCTATCTTCAATGCTCAAACTGATTTGATTCAAAAGAATTTACACCTGGAAGAAGATTATATCAGGGGAGTGCTTCTGAATTAGGTCGCCAATGGCTTCCATCTGCTCAATCACCTCTACTTCTTCACGGGCCAGACATTATAACTCATTACCTTGATCAATCTGGAAGCGGTGTCATGATAGCCATCATCACCTGAATAGCGTATGTTTTGAGATTAATCACAGCACAGCCAAGTTAATTATTTAAATGTTCTGTCTGAATCAGCTTAACAATTTTAAAATATTTAAATTAAAAATTGCTCGTAATTCAGCTAACATGGTCGACATAAACTAAATTAGAACAATCAAAATGAAATAAAGATCATACAAATACCTTTATGACCTTGTAGTTCAAATCCAGATCTGTCCATAACCCCATCCTTTCCGGATTTGTTCTCAGATGAATCAGAAGATGATGAGAGGCTCCATACACCAAACACAAGGAAAGCTAATGGATGAAAAAAAAACAGGCAAGTCGTCCCTCATGTGGCGACTTGCCAAATTTTTTTCCAGGGAGAATAATGCAAAAAATATATAATTATATGTTTTTTACTTTTTTTCATTGCTATTATAAGAGTTTTTTTAATTTCCTTTATTTTATATTTTGAAATCTAAAAATCATTTTATAATACTAAATAAACAAACTTATTTATGAAGTTTTGGGCTTTTAGCTCCTCATCTTCCGAAATCATATTAATTGAATTAATTGCAACCAAAATCATTATTACTCTTTTGATTTTTTTTTTATCTTTTCTATTATTATTTCAGATTTTTGAAATTAAAAAATATTTATGCAAGATTAAATTTATAATATCAATGTATAACATTTTTTGAATTTTTTTATATATAACTTTTAACAAATCTTTGCATCAAGAAACATATTAATGTAAAGGATATGAGGCTTGTGTTTTGAGAAATTATTTCTTCAAAAAAAAAAAAAAAGAAGAATAAGATATTTTATGATTATTGCTCATCATTTAAAAGTATAAACAATTAAAATAATTAAAAATATTTTATTTATCTCGAAAAAAATTTCATAATTTTAAATTGCAGTCTAAAGTTGAGTACTTTTATGGAGCCAAAACTTTAAAAATAAGTTTATCTATTTAGTTTTGTAAAATATTTGTTAGAATGGCACAAAGAATAAAAATATTAGTAATTTTTTTTTAATTTTATATTGCTAGAAAAGTGTTTGTCAAATACCACGTGTGACAACACGTGTGCTGATAATGTTATATACAATGAAGACTTTAAAGCAAATGAAAAACTCTATTGCCCAATTTGAAGAAATGATTGCTTCTCATGCTTCTTTATATTACGTAAAATCCGAGAAATTATTATGTGAGGTCACTGAACAGTCCATAGCCGAACCAGAAAACGTGCTACGTCACCCGATATCGAGCGCTACAGTGCAGCAACACAAAAAAAAAAAAGAAGACATGATATGTTCATATTCGCCTTTAGATGCCGTTCGGTGACCGCACATAATAAATTTTCATAAAATCCACCGCCAAGCCTAAAAGACCTCATAGTCGGATTATGAGATATAAAGTGGTTAAGGCCCTGCTCATAATCACATGAGCTTATATGTATATACATGCTTTGCATGTTAGGTGGTTGTGTTCCATCATAAATTACACATCCACAAACTTTATCTTTGTTTTTTCAAAAGCTATGAGATTCCTTATGAATGTTAATAGAAAAGGCCTTATCGTAAGTAAGCTATTAATGGGTGAGGCAAAAAAATCTGTACATATTTATGCGCACAAAAGCTACTTCTAATTTTTTTTTTTTTTTTGATGAGGAAGCACTATTCTTAAGCCAGTGTAAATCCCGGTCGACCTAGCATGCAACCCACACCAATTTACACGGGCCAACACTTACTTCTAATTACGAAATCACCCAGCAAAATAGCAACAAAGAAATAATTGCTATGACGAAGTTATATGATGCAAATTTTTGAGATTTTTTTTTTTTATGGCTGAACAAGAACATGATCTTAAGACTTTAGAAATTGAATCGAGCCAGTTGTTATTTATTGTTCTATTTTTCAGTCTTTTTTTTTTTTAACACAAGAACACATTTTATTTCATAAAAGAAAGGGAATACAGCATAGAGCGATCAACCAACAGCAAAATCTCAAAAAGACAGCCAATATGCAAAACAACTAGCTGTGAGAAAGACAGAGATAGATTCAGGAGAAGCCCCCCGCACCAACTCCGGGCCTGCCAAGGACCATCCATGGTATAAGCAGCTATAGAACACAGTCATAAGTTACAAACAATGAGCCAAAGCACCCGAGTTGCCAACCACACAAGCCAACAAGAGGGAAGCTGGGGGCTTCATCATTATCGTCCAAAAAAACTTGCCAAAAGCCGCAGTCGAAATAGTAAAAAGAGAAGCGAAGAAAGCCTATTTCTTTTTGCCTTTATTTTTGCCTTTTTTTCATCAACATAGGGACGAAATTGATCCACAATATGAGAAGGCAAAACCTCTTCTTCAAATGTCACATCCTCCCCCTCAGAATGAGAAGAAGAAGAATAATCCAAAATTAGCTAATCTGTTTGCAAATGGACATAGTTATTCAATGACCAAGCCATATGGGCATTCAACTCAACATTAGACATAACATAAATAGGAATATCCACAAATTTCTTGTTTCTCTTATCAAGATTCACAATAGGAGAAGATTCTGGCACAACAAAAATAATCGAAACCTCACTCGAAGGGCCACATTCCACAGAATTCAACACAAGACGATCACCAGACGACACATGAGTTACATTAGAAGGGGAAGAAACTAGAGCACCACAAGACACAACATTACCAACAAAAGCAACCCCTCCACTGACAGCAGGACTAACACCCTCCCCAACTATAACCCTTCCACTAACAACACCATTGGAATCGTGACAGCTGTCCAGTCTTTTATGAAAGATAGATAGGTGTTTTAGTTTTTTGGAAGTTAAGGCCGACGTCTAGAAGCTCAGGAGACAAAATCCTTAGAGATCCCAACATTCACACTCTCAAACGGCTTACCTAAAGGAGTAGAAGCAACCAGCTCCATGGCGGCAGAGACCAAATTCACTCCACCAACCAAACCCCCATCATCAATACAATTCACCTTACAATTGTTCAAGGCTAACTTATCCTCCTCTCCAACATCATTCAACAAAGGCGTAGGGGAGCCAACACCCCCATCAGAAACATCAATCAGATGCACAACATTATCCTCAATAAGAAATACAGCCTTCCCACCCCCATGCGTGACATGAGCAAGCGCAGAGACGTGACAACTAGCCCCAAGAGACACAACAGGACTAACAACCGAATTAACTAAATAATGATTCTCCACAACAACATCCACATTAGGAACACAAGGCAGACTAATATTTTTAACGGGCACAGTAATAGTAAGAGGAACATCCCGAATCAAATGGGATTTAGCTAATTGAGGGTGCAATAGCAAACATTCCGATTTGGAATGTCCTAAAGATTTACAACGCAAAACAGTACAAAGGTAAATCCTCCAAAATTTTACGAAACCTTAGTGTTCTGAATAATAAACTTCTGATTGGTTGACAGCTTCATCAAACAAGCAAGAAACTAACAATAAATTGAAAGAGGTTGATGATCAACTTATATGCTTACATAGCCAAATTAATGTCCAATTTGCATAAATACAAGAATATAAATCAAAACAGTTAACAATTTTGAAAGAAACCAAACAATGCCATTGCAGATATTGCTTGGCCTATTATTCAATTACAGCAATTATGTTCTTCAACAAAGCTTCAACAAAGATAAGACCCATTTTTTAATAACAGTCATAGATTACATGAAGACATTCCTTAAGACTTGTAATAATATAGATAGAAAACTCCTTATTCTCTAACGATAGACTTGCTTATTAATTGGAAATAGTCAAAAGCAAACCAAAGTGATCACTGGGATACACACGATCAACCATGTTGTTATGGTGGTATGAAAGCCCTGCTATTGCTTTCTTTCCTATCGTCTTAATGTCAATGATCTTAAAGTCACTCAGTTTACAAAGAAATCTATCTAATCTCTTCTGAGGGCGCATATAAGTCCATCCATCCTCTCTTGGCTTGAGCTCAGTCCAGGCATCAACCCAATCTTCATTGAGTGGAAAAGGGCCATCTAAGCTCTCATCCCAGTTCATGTCACCACCAAATACAACATTGGGCAAGTTTTTGAGTAGGTTGATAGCCTCTTCTGCCTGAGCTATTCGCTTGCTGCTGTTCATTTTAGGAGGATTTGGGCTCTTAAGGTGGGTGGTTGCAACTACGAGGTGATTATTAGTTCCAACATCAACCTTAGCCAAACAAATCTCCTTTCTGGAGTTCTCAAAGATTTTGTTGCTAAATGTTGTCACAGGCAACTTGCTCAACTACAATCAAATTATCAAAGTTTGATTTTCAAGAAGGAAATTACAAGAAATATCCTAAACTCATATCGTAAGGATTTAAAGGAAAACTAGACTAGTTGTTGATAATCAGAAGTTTACCAGCATGCAGAAGTATTTATTTGTTGCCTTCTGTGGGGGGACAGAACATTCATAGAGTTTCCACCATTGGGAGTTACAAAAAATGGTATAAATATATGGTGTAATTTCCCGAAAGACAAACAATTTAAATTCATAACTATTTTTTATTAGTATGAGGTATCCACCCTCTTCAAGGCTCAAACTAATTTGATTCAAAAGAATTTACACCTGGAAGAAGATTATATCAGGGGAGTGCTTCTGAATTAGTTGGCCAATGGCTTCCATCCGCTCAATCACCTCTACATCTTCACGGGACCAAACATTATAACTCATTACCTTGATCAATCTGGAAGTGGTGTCATGATAGCCAAAATCGCCTGAATAGTGTAAGTTTTGATGTTAGCATAAGATTGCAGATTAATCACATCCTAGTTGTAACTGTCCAAACTCTTAACTATCGAGATATTGTCCACTTTGGCCTAAGAGTCTTACGGTTTTGTCCAGTTGGTGTAACTTCCCAGTATGTCACCCATTCTAGAATTGCTCTGGATGAGCACGGTTAACTGCAATTTTTTATGAAAAATCCAACCATTACACCAAAAGGCACATCGATGTTTAAAAATTAGCTTTCTTTTACTTGAGAGATTTCACACTATTTAATTATCTAAATGTTCTGTTTGCATCAACTTTGACAATTTTAAAATATTCAACTAAAAAACTTCTATCGTAATTCAGCTAACATGCTCGACATAAACTACTAAATTAGATCAATCAAAATGAAATAAAGATCATAGAAATATCTGTATGACCTTGTAGTTCAGATCTGCCCATAACCCCAACCTTTCGGGATTTGTTCTCAGAAGAATCATATGATGATGAAAGGCTCCATGCACCAAACGCAAGG